ATTTGTACGTGTTATTCGATGCAGGAGAATGTGTTTATGTAGCCGTTGCCTAGGAACGACCTACGCTTCTGGCTGAACTATTCCGGCTTTCAAACGCTGCTTTCGGTACAGAGTGTTGATAGGTAACTGACCGTTAAACACCTCGCGATCGATTACACGCAAAGCAACAAGGGAACTTCGGTGATTTCTCTCTTGCTAAGCAACGTTGCGGTAAAAAACAATATAGGCTGTTTTCTGTGCGTGGTCGTTGCGGAAGCTGTATAATGAGGAGTACCAAAGGCTCTATGTCCTAGTATTCCAGATGGTTTCAGAGTATTCAGGATTGTTTGAGTGTTAAGTGTTTAAGTAATAGTGAGAAAGATTTAAGTGACAAAAACGGGAAGTTAGCAGAAGAGCTGTGATGATTTAAAGTGTGATTTGAACCGCTAATTTCTGTGTTGCGATACAGAGAGGACTAGTGGGTGCGTGCAACAGTGAAATATGTAGTGTGTATAAATTAGGGGTAGCGCTGTAATGCCTGCAATTTGAGTGTAATTAAGAGATGTAATCTAATCATCCGAAATAGAAACCGTCATTTCGTCACGCGTACCATAACTGCACGTGACAACAACAACAACAATAATAATAATATTAACAAAAAAATAATGATGATAATAATTCAATTCAATTCGTGTTTATTTATGTGCAAACTTAACAGCACAGTGGCCAATTACAAAGTTAGCACGAAATAATAAGAATAATAATACTAGGGCGTCTTGCCTCGGCATTAGTAGTAGATGGCTGATAAAAGTACAGGCCCCTCCTGTCTTACACCAGGTATTGGACTTTTGGTAGGAGGCTGGGCGTGCTCAAGATTCGGTCCGAATACAGTGGAGAAAACAAAAATCCTTCTATGACAGGTTAGAGAATGTCCGTCCAGCACGCAGCCTGTCGCTGTAAGAAATATGGAAATCCCTGCTCGTCTAATAATAACAGTATTAATACAATTAATAGCTTTAATAACTCCATGGAGCTGAGCTGTTCTTCAGAAGCCTCCAGTTGCGCAGTTACTAAAGAATTTTCCAAAATGTTATTGAGCCAAAATATTAAATGTGCATATTCACAAGGCCTCTCCACTGGTCACTACTCAAGGGTGACCACCCCATCCTATCTCTCTTAGATTAATTTTAATATTTCCTGCCACCTCTCGTCTATGTCTTCGTAATAGGTTCTCTCTCTCTTGTTATCTTACAAAAAATTTCCTAACATTCATGCTACATATCCTGCTCATCATTTTCTTCTTTACTAAGTCACTGTACCTATATTTTTCGAATGTAATGACGCTCCTCATTAAATAATTCTACTTCGACACCCTTCGATGCCAATATTCTCCTCAGTAACTTATTCAGAAATGTTTAATCCTGCGATCCTTCGCTATGTTCTTTTTCGTAACGGAATGATTTTATACTGTGGAGATATTTAAGCCCCACGCTCAACCCCCAAGCTGGAGGGCCACCCTTGTCGGCAGTCCGCGACTGCTTCTTCAATATATTCGCAGCTTCCCTCGAAAAATTGAGGGCGTCTCCACCATCCGTAACCTTAATACGCGACATGCCTTGGTTTTGCCTTCGGTTCTGTATTGGTGTGGAACTTGGTCTCTGACATTAAGGGAGGAACATAGACCGAGGTTGTTTGAGAACAGGATGTTGAGAAGAATATTTGGGTCGAAAAGGAATGAAGTGACAGGAGGGTGGAGAAAACTGAATACTGAGGAGCTTCATAACGTGTATTCTTCTTCAAGCATAATTAGTAGCACGAATGAGAGAGACGAGAAATGCATAGAGGGTATTGGTTGGAAAGCGAGAAGGAAAGAGACCACTCGAAAGACTAAGGAGNAACCCACCCTCACGAGGCTGTCCTATTCCCCACTATCCCATCCCGGATTATAATAAAGTACAGCCTAAAACTAATTCTTATAACACACGTCAATGCTCCTCGAAGAACCCACCCTCACGAGGCTGTCCTATTCCCCATTATCCCATCCCGAATTATAATAAAGTACAACCTAAAACTAATTCTTATAACACACCTCAATGCTCCTCGAGCAACCAACCCTCACGAGGCTGTCCTATTCCCCACTATCCCATCCCGAATTATAGTAAAGTACAGCCTAAAACTAACTCCTATAACACACGTCAATGCTCCTCGAGGAACCCACCCTCACGAGGCTGTCCTATTCCCCACTATCCCATCCCCGATTATAGCAAAATACAGCCGAAAACCAACTCCTATAACACACAGAATAATGGAAGGAAAAACAGAGAGGTGAGTGGTGTGGTAGCATGTTGCGTGGGTCAGATAGAAGGGAGCATTCCGCATGGCATGGGTTGGAAGTTCTGATTCGATTTCCTTTCTGTGGCATTTATGCTTGTTCCTTGCGTATGAAACATGTAAATCTCCAAAAGAATGTTGCCACATACTAGAAGATACAGCTCTTACAAACCGCAAGGAGAACCATAAAACTCCCACCTTCTTCTTCCACCCGTTTCTTGATTTATTAATGGCGTACGTCTTTGCGTTTTAAAAGCAACAGTTATTATCAATATCACAGCATCCAATGATGAGAATAAGGAATTCAAATAGATTGATGTGCCCACTGATTTCGTGTTAATCAAGAGGTTGTCGATCTGAACATGATTTCATTTTTATACAGCGATCGCGGATGACACAGCAAGGGGATACTACTGTTTCGGATTCAACGGCCAAGAGGAGGGCGAGTAAAGGAGAACAGATCGAAAGGGAGAGAAGAGGTGTGTATTAATTAATTTTCCGTACCTCTATCAAGTTCCATTTCTCAATACTGAGTAAAATAATATAGCGAGTCAATGATTCTTATTAACCTGCTATTAGATTTCGCGTCACATTTCTTTTGAAGTGTATTATAGAATTCTATTTACTGTACTTGATGAGTGATCTCATGCTCGTTGCGTTATGTACAGTGGAGTCCAGGACTCGGCAAGAATCACCGTGATTTTTATCGAGAACCTACTGAACAGGACAGTACCTTAATTTGAAATATAGGGGAAAATGGGAGGACTAAAGCATTTCATGTAGAGTATATTCATATTTCCATACCTCTGTTATTATTAATCGCTGCAAAAGTACCTTTGAATGGAGGCTAACTTCACCAGTTCCATATATATACGTATAAGAGAGTATGCATATCCCTTCCTATCAAACTAAATATCGAAATATTTCTCTCTTAACCGTAACAAGTTATCTTCTTCTTTTTCTTCCAATCTGAAGCATATGATGATCTCACCCTACGGGTGAATGTCTAATATCACGGCGGTCTAGAAATATAAATGGAAGTTAGAGACGGAGCAGATATTCCAGGAGACACGGAAAGTTTTTTTAAACCGCTTAGTGCGTAGTGTAGTACTGAAATGTTACTAGAGATGGACCAAGAGGCATTGCATTTCTGAGAAGATTACATTTATTAACGCACTTTACTCGTAATATGTCCTTATCCGTTTCTTACGGTTAAGCGTGACAGGCGGCTGAATAGTTGTAAAGTTGGGGAAAATATTACATGTTTACTGTTATTGTTCAAAGAATTAAAAAAATTATTTATGGAAAAGATATATATATTATTTTTGGATAGACCAGACTTTATAAGTTCATTTACGTGTACATTTTAATATTGTGACGTGTTGCCCTATGGAGGACACGTCCTCGCCCCACCAACGCTGTCGTAACACTTTCGGAGCGTTGCCTTTGCTGCGGTAATAAGCCAGTCAACATGCAGCCTCTCCCCGCTATATCGTAACACGGGACGCTGCAGTTGCTACGTATCCGTAAACAACTCCCAACATCGTTGCTAGGCTATCGGCAAATACGCCGACTGGGCAACAAGGAAGCGAGGCGTTTTCTGTTGTCCGGCTGAGGTTTTATAAGAGTACTACACTACCTACGAAGACAGTTGAGTTACGCGTTAGCGGCAGTGAATCAGTTGAGTCACGAGTTAGCCAGCAGTCAATGAAAGTGTAGCAGCCGCGGAAGACAGTTTAATTATAGTAGTCCCCGATTTCATTTGTAACCAATGAATTGTTGTAGTGTGAAGAAATTTGTGTGTAGGTTTCTAAAGTGTATGAGTTCGTATCATTGTTGTACTTAATTGTGGTTGGATCTGTTGCAGGTAATCAGATATCTTACGGCCGGATAAAAGTGACATCGGCAGCAAATGCCATGAGTGCCTCATTCAAGCCGGAATGTCGAGGCTCCTCGAGCAAGCGGCCCACAGGAAGTCGTCTTATTCTGCACTATCCTATCCCCGATTGTATTAAAGTAAAGCCCAAAACAAACTCATATACTACACCAAAAAATGGAAGCTGAAACAGAGAGGTGAGTGGAGTGGTAGCATGTTGCGTAGTTCAGATAGAAGGGAGCAATCCGCATGGCATGGGGTGGAAGTTCTGATTCTATTTGCTTCACGTGACATTTATGCTTGCTTCGAGCTTATACTTTGGAAATGGTTGAAACATGTAAATTTTCTTCGTCCGTTGCCTATCAGAGAAAGATTATTGTAATATACAAGAAGATACAGCACTTCTGAAAAATCGCTACGAGCGTCTTCAATTTCCCCCACCCCATATATTGTTTCTTCCGTTTTTTTTTCTTAATGGCGGACATCTTTGCGTTTTAAAGGCAACAGTTATTATCAATATCACAGCATCCAATGATGGGAATAAGGAATTCAAGTAGACTTATGTGCCCACTTTTGTCCTGTCCATCAAGAGGTTGTCGATCTGAACATGATTTCACTTTTATACAGCGATCGCGGTCGAATACGTCAACTCGAATGACAGAGCAAGGGGATACTACTGTTTCGGATTCAACGGCCAAGAGGAGGGCGAATAAAGGAGAGCAGAGCAATCGGAGGGAAGAGGTGTGTATTAATTAATTTTCCGTACCTCTATCAAGTTCCATTTCTCAATATTGAGTAAAATAATATAGCGAGTCAATGATTCTTATTATCCTGCTATTAGATTCCGCGTCACATTTCTTTTGAAGTGTATTCCAGAATTCTATTTACTGTACTTGATGTTCCATTCACTCTTTGGAAATTGAGTTATCTCATTCTCGTTGCGTTATGTACAGTGGAGTCGAGGACTCGGCAAGAATCACCGTGATTATTATCGAGAACCTACTGAACAAGACAGTACCTTAATTTGAAATACAGGGGAAGATTTAAGGACAAGCATTTCATGTAGAGTGCTTACTTACTTACTCATGGAGCTGAGCCCTTCTTGAAGAGCTGCCAGTTCTGCAGCTACTCAAGAATTTTCCAGGATTTTATGGAAGCCCAAGGTTCATCTCGGTGTTCACAAGAGCCCTCCACTGGTCCCTATCCTGAGCCAGATCTATCCAATCCATAGCATCCCATGCTATCTCTCTAAGCTCCATTCTATTATTGTCCACCCACCTATGCTTTGGTCTTCCCTGTGGTCTCTTTCCTTCTGGCTTTCCCACCGATATACTGTACGCATTCCTCGTCTCCCCCATTTGTGCTACCTGACCTGCCCACCTCATCCTCGTTGACTTGATCATTCTAATTATACTTGGAGAAGAGTACAAGATATGAAGCTCCTCATTATGCAGTTTTCTCCAACCTCCTGTCACTTCATCTTTCTTCGATCCAAATATTTTCCTTAGCATCCTTGTAGAGTATGTTCATATTTCCATACCTCTGATATTATTAACCGCTACAAAGTTACTGTTGAATGGAGGCTAACTTCACCAGATTCCATATATACACGTATATGAGCGTATGTATATCCCTTCCCCTCAAACTAAATACCATAATATTTCTCTCTTAACTGTAACAAGTTATCTTCTTCTTTTTCTTCCAATCTGAAGCATATGATGATCTCACCCTACGGGTGGATGTCTAAAATCACGGCGGTCTAGAAATATAAATGGAAGTTAGAGACGGAGTAGATATTCCAGAAGATACTGATAGTTTTTTTAAATCGCTTAGTGCGTAGTGTAGTACTGAAATGTAATTAGAGATGGACCAAGAGGCATTGCAATTCTGAGAAGGTTACATTTATTGACGCACTTTACTCGTAATATGTCCTTATCCGTTTCTTAAGGTTAAGCATGACAGGCGGCTGAATGGTTGTAAAATTGAGAAGATTATTGCATGATTAGTGTAATTGGTTACAGAATAAAAAAATTATTTATGGAAAAGATTTTTTTTGATAGACCAATCTTTATAAGTTCATTTACGTGTACATTTTAATATAAAATACGCTTTACCTCTTGAGTAATTTGGAGATACGTTAAGTGGATGCACACGTTCTACGCTGTCACTTTCGGCTTCATTCATTTGCACCCTCGCAGTATAACGCCTTCAACTTCGAAAGTGATAACATTTAAGCAGGACGCAATGGGTGAAAAAAGAATAAGATTATTTGGGAGTCGAATATTAGATAAGGGCGGAAGAAACATAGTTTAATCGGATGTGTTCTCGTAACGTTCATTACTGAGTAACGCATGAAAACAAAATCTTCACTTGTAAAATTTGAATACCGTATTTACGCATGTATAGGCCGCAGCACAATTTTCAGACAGAAATTATAGAAAAAATAATTTTCTTTGAATATTATTTAAGGAGTAGAAATTATTCCGAAATTTGGCAACGTTTAACATTCCTAAGTTCGCAACTAGCGAAAATAACGGTACCGCTCAGAACGAAGGCATTGTGGGGGAGAGTTATAACCTTTTCGCCTTTACTTGACTTGCCTGGTTAGTTCTGAGTGAAACATGGGTCGAGTAAGAGCAGGTTATACGTCTAAATTTAAACTTCAAGTGGTGCGTTACGCACATGAACACGGAAATCGAGCAGCAGGGAGAAAATTCGACGATGACGAAAAAAATGTGCGAAGATGGATACTAACGAAAGATGTCATTGAAAAAACGCCACAAAATCGACAATCTTTCCTAGGAAAGAAAGCTAAATTTCCAGAACTTGAAAATAAACTTTTGCGATACGTGCGTAATACACGGGCGGATGGATTTTCAGTGTCTGTGGAAATGATTCAATTTGAAGGCCTCAAAATAGCGGACAGAATGAAAATTCCTCGTAATGAATTTAAGGGAAGTTATGGATGGGTAAGGCGCTTTATGGCCCGACATGATCTTGTAATTCGGCGACGGACTTCAATAGCGCAGCGCCTTCCCGACACATACCAGGAGAAACTGCTTGCATTTAAAAAACATGTCCTGAAATTAAGAAAGACGCACAACTACACCATGGGAGCTATTGGAAATGTTGATAAAACTCCTGTGTTCTTTGAAATGCCGGGTGAAAGTACAGTGAACAAAGCAGGCGAAAAAACAGTGCATGTGCGGACTGCAGGAGGAGAAATGCAGCGGTGTACCGTAATGCTTGGTATCACTGCTGATGGAAACAAACTACCACCATTTGTAATCTTCAAACGCAAAACATTGCCGAAAGAAAAGCTTCCACCGGGAATTTTGGTGAGAGTTCAAGAAAAAGGATGGATGACAGAAGAGCTCTATCTGGATTGGTTGAAATCAGTGTGGTTTCGGCGCCCAGGCGCACTTTTACGTCAGCGGTCAATGTTAGTGGTTGACAGTTTTCGAAGCCATTTAACTGAAAATGTGAAAGTGAAGATGAGGCAGGAGAAAAGTGATATGGTTGTGATACCAGGGGGGATGACTGGCATGTTACAACCACTTGACGTGTCAATAAACCGTCCTTTCAAGTCTCATTTGCGGCGCTTTTACCGGGACTGGAGATGCGGTTCCACGGAGATGACGCCGACTGGACGATTGAAGAAACCTTCATTAAGTCAAATGTGTGAGTGGATTGTGGCTGCATGGAACACCATACCAGAAGAAATGGTTTCCAAAAGTTTTAAAGTCACATCCATTTCCAACGCAATGGACGGGACTGAAGATGACGCTGTATGGCTGACATCACCTGACAGCGAAACTTCGAGCGAGAGCGACATCGACAGTAACGAGTCAAGTGATGAACAGTAATATGGTTCAATTACCGTGGACCAACTTCAGAAAGTGTCGCATAATTTATTCATGCGATGCGAAGCATGTTTGCAAGCAGAAGGGGGTCACTTTCAGCACCTGTTATAAAGCACGGTAAGTTTGTGTTATCTTTTTACAGTATTCTTATAAATGTGTGCATGTACAGAAACTGATGTAAGGGTATCAGCGACACGACTGCACTCTCGCTAGCGGGGAGGGGCACAGTAGTCGCGGAGAAACGTTCCATCCGCTCTACGCTGCTGCCCCGGTTTCCTCGATCTTTGAACACCCTGTATTACTAATTATGAGTATAATTTTTTTAATTGAAGTGTGATTTCGAATATTTCGAATATAAGCCGCACCCCAGTTTCCTCTTGAATTTTTGGCAAAAAATGTGCGGCCTATACATGCGTAAATACGGTATGTAGTTGAAATAGCATTTGTTTCAGGCATGTTTTCGACATGAATTAGAAAGGCAGTTTCATCAACCTTCACCTTGAATTATGATCACAGAAAGAACAGTAACCTCTACGTCATTTATGGCGTATCGTGAAACAGGACTCCGATGAGTGTATTCTTGCGACATCACTATATTACTGAATGCCGTAACTACAATGCAAGCTAACTATAACACAAAATATTGTCGCGTATCGCGGGGTATAACGCGACAAATAAATTCTCGACGTATTCGATGTAGCGAATTTTATTTCACACTCGCTCTTACAATCACCCAAATTACAATCTGACGATTACTGCTATCTGCAGTATCACAATTAGTACACTCCAAATGCCACAATACAACTGACTGGTTGCTGGCTAACTCGACGATAGGTCCAGGACTCGCTGACTGACTCAGTACAACTCTGCGGTCGCCACACTAGAACTGACTGTGAATAGCCTTCGCTGCTCCGTATGTAGCCTCGATCGGACAGTACGGGAAAACGGCCACGTAATAGGCACCCTTGTTGCTATGTCGCTGTGTTGCTATGTAACGCTAGCGGA